GTGTATTAATGATACTCGTTACCTGGAGAGGTTGGAAAAAGATATACGTTTCTTCCCTGTTCCAAAACCAAAATCAAACCCTGAAAAGTGTAGGGTTAGCTAGCTAGCTACTGAAGATATAGCCTACTGAATGTATACACATGCTGCTTTTGCTTTTTAATGATTATAACAGTGAAACAAAGACCGACCCTGCTGTACAGGAACCAGTGAAGGGAAGCAGGGAAACTTTGCTGATATTCAGCCAGCTGTGTGTCATCACAGTGTGTGCAGATGAACGCTGTTTGACTTCCCTTGGAGATCGAATGTCTGTTAAAGAAAAGAAAAACGGAAGGAAAAGTATTGTTCAGTTGTAATCCTGTATGATTTGCAGTTATCCTTTAAAAAAAAAGTCATTTAAAAAACTAAGATTTACGCACAAGCAAGCCTTAGTTCATCACATGAGAACCCACACAGGAGAGAAACCTTTCAGCTGCCGTGTTTGTTAACAAAGATTCAGTCGGCTTCAAATCCTGAAAAACCACATGGAAAACATGATATTTGTGTTTGTTTCATGTATTGTTGAACAAATTTGGTGCGTGCCGGTACACTCCTTTTTTTTATCATCGTGCTAACCCAAGGCTAATTCCCAGATGGCTAATACACAAATTAACGAGTGAACTCACCAAGACAGTGGAGGACAGACTTCAATGGTCTGTTTGTACAATTAACTGCAGCAAGCCATATGATTTGTGCAGTATTCACGTGAAAATCTCTCCAAATGGCACCAACACCACATTCTGTTGAAGTGAAAATCTTAACGCCACTCACCTTTTTGGCCACTTTGGGGTGTTTCCTCTGGAGGAGCTGGAAAGTTTGACACTGCAGTTATTGACTTGGACTGTTTGTGTTTATTAACATCTGTACCATATGTATTATACTCACCAGCCGCTCTGGTCAGACATAAAAAAATTAACATAAACGTAAAAAAATTGCAACAGAATACAAACATTGGAATACATAACATAGCCCTATATGAGTAATAAAAATCAATATAACATAATAGGATATAAGATAAGATAAAGTTACATTAGCATCTGACACAAAGCTTTTATCAGGAGAAACTGCTCATTGACATTAAACACAGGTGAAGTCATCACAGCAGAGCATCATAACAACCACATTCTGTTGAAGTGAAAATCTTAAAGCCACTCACCTGTTTCATCTTGGGGAGTTTCCTCTGTGTCAGGGCCATATCCAAGGCTTACTACTGGTTTAGTGGAAAACAACACACAGGAAACAATGACAGTATCATCATTTGTAAAGTTCACATACAAACGTAGAGCAAATTTTAACTGAATGTCCAATAAACAGCAAAAAAATAAAAAATGATAAATACAAATTAATGTTCGTTTCCATCCATTAGTGTTGTGTGAATATAAGAAGTTGGTTGAAGAAAAGGATAACAGGAGCGCTGCTGGTGTCCCTCAAACCACCGGTGCTCATGGAAGGGTTAAAAAATCCAGAAGGCATAAAGAATCAAAGTCCAGGCACTCAGGTCGGTTTGGAAAAATTAAAAAGCCTTTATTTAATGAGCAAGAGTCATTAAAGACACCAACACGTGTCGGCTTGCGCCTTCCTCAGGGTGTATGAAGACAAGAGAGCAAACAAAGCAATTATAGTTGCAATCACTTCAGCTGTGAATCATTCAGTCTGTGCCATTTTCTTTAGGCCTCTAGGAGGCCTCAGTCAAGAATTAGTATAAGTAGACTGTAAGATTGTAAGTTCTGGGGGAATCAGACAACAAACTTATTGAGCTCCTCTCACAGACTGTCAAATCTTAACTAAGTAAGAATAATGTAAACAGAATAGAATCCACAATAGAAACCATACCGAAAATAATACAAGTATATACATAAAGATAAAGAAATAAGCAAAACCTCCAATGCAGATGTGCAAATGATGACATCTGCATAGCATCTTAAATAAGCTGAAGCTGTCTTGTCAGGACCATTACACATTGTCATTTACAAAAAAACATTTACAAAAAGGATAAGAGGTCAAAATCCTCATTGAGGCCAGGAAAGCTGGTGGCCTTAAGGGCATGGATCCAATATGCCTCTCTTTGCTTGAGGCGTTTGACTTTATCCCCACCCCTGGCACCCAAGCTAATGACCTCAATACCTGACACTCTTAGGGATGAGTCATTTGAATGTTGTGCTTCCATGTAATGTTTGGCCATAGGATAATTCAAATTTCCAGTCCGAATGGCGTACCTGTGTTCAGCCACTCTGTCCCTCAGTCTTCTTTTAGTAAGGCCAACATAGAAACAGCCACAAATACACTCAAGTCGGTACACAACATGGGTAGTGTTACAATTAATAAAACTTGAGATAGAATAGATTTTATTACGAAACACATCCCTAAAGTGTCCGTTTTCACCATGTTTTCACAGTATTTACAGTTCCCACAGCGAAAATTGCCCTTGGGTCGACAAAGCCAGGTGTCTGGTTTGTTAGCAGGAAGATAACTCCTTACTAGTTTATCCTTGATTGTAGGGGCCCTTCTAAAGCTGATACCTGACAGTTCAGGGAATATCTCCTGTAAAGAAGGGTCACTCTCAATGATATCCCAATTTTTCTTTATAATGTGTTTGATCTGGACAGCTTCTTTACTGTAGCGTGTGACAAAGTAGGGTTTCTGAACTTGCTCTTGTTTAGGTTTAGGGCTGAGCAATTTGCTCCTCTCCAGTGACAGAGCCCTATTGTGAGCCTGAGTAAGAAGCTGGGATTTATACCCTCTCTGTCTAAAACGCTGCTGCATGTCCATGGATTGATTTAGAAAATCCTGATCAGAATCACATATACGTCTGAGTCTTTGGGTTTGTCCATAAGGGATATTCTTAATTAATTATTCGATCGGTTCTCTTTCTAAAGATGGAGGTGTGCAAGCATCCTTGGTCATCCTTTAAAATCTGCAGGTCCAAAAAGTTAATGACTTTGAGGTCATATTCTAAGCTCAGCTTCAGGTTTTTATTTGAAGTGTTCACATAGGTATGAAAGTCCAAAAGCTCTTTTTCTGACCCAGAAAAGAATACTCTCTTTGAGCCACTCTCTTTTTTAGGGTCTCATGTACCCACGCAGATCTCTGTTTATCTGCTGACAACCCACAACCAGAGTGTAGGGGAAATAATAATAATAATAATGATAATAATAATAATAATAATAAGAAGAAGAAGAAGAAGAAGAAGAAGAAGAAGAAGAATGATAGAATATAAAGAAATACCTCTTTGAGAATATTTGCACTCGTAATAAATTTTGGGGCACCACCCTCCTAATGAGGGAAGCGACTAATCAAATTAATAACTCCATAAGTCACTTATTAATTCGTCAGCACGCTTATCAATAATGAATCAATCTCAGTATCTGGGTTATGAATTCTCTAGACAGTGATCTCAGCTCCTGTCCAAATACACAGACAATGACTTGGCTGAATAAATGAATAGCAACTGATAATTATATGACACAACACAAAATTAACAGAATATAAATGGAATGAAATGAGAAGTAACACTCGTGTGAGTTATTTAGTTTGGTGATAGTGGGACAGGGTATGTTAAGATATATTATAAATTGTGGACGCAGGGATGCGCAAAACCATTCACCTAATGAAACCTAAATTAAAATCAGAATTATTAACTAAGCCTCCTGCTCGACCTCACTCTTCACTGCACAGCGGCTCACTCAAGTTATGGAAGTTCTTTGCCTACTTTTTAGCAGCGGGGATCAAAGGCGAAGCTCCTCTTGGGGCCCCGGACTGTCGCTCCGTAGCTCCCGGATTTTCCAGCAGAATGAAACAGGCTGTCTCACAGCAGTGTGGGAGCGGTTGAATCTGCAATGTCCCTTGGGTACCCCAGGCTGGTCGCTTTGTGCTGCAGAAAGCCTTTGAGATTGGCACGAGGACCACTGTGGCAAGTGGCTGGCAGCTGCTGGTTCCGATAAATCTGGGGCGAAGAGGTTGGTCGACAGGTGCTGGTCTACTTTGTTCTGATTACTCGCTAATGTTAAAACAACATTGTTGGCTGCTCGATATTGTTGTCAAAGTTATTATTAATGCGCAAAAATGTTGAAAACACTGGAGATAAAAAAAAAATGGATGAGCAAAATTCAAAAGTTCAAAATAACTTTGATCGTGAGCACAAAAGAGTTACGCATGAGTTAAATAAAGTAAAAATGACATAAACATAAAAGCAAGAGACTGAGACAAAAAAATGAAGAAGAGCGCAACACAAAAGAGACCAGAGAGTAACAAAACAACGCACGACAAAAGACGAAAAGAATAAGCACAACAGGGCGAGCCATGACGTGCGCACTCGTATTTATCCGGCCAAAGTGGACGGATTTGATAAGGGAGGCTTCTCTCTAGATGAAAAATAGTCTCATCATGTCATTTTGGAGGAAACTTAATGCTTTTCTTAAACGAGGTTGTATACTTTGATATTTTATGCGCGATGGACACATACTCTTCCCATCATGGTCAAAATTGATTCTTAACATCCAATTAAAATACAGATTAACATTAAATCAAAATACAATTATTATGCCGTGGTATCAACTAGGCTACTTCAAATACACACACTCTAGACTAACCTATAGTTGAAATATATAATGAAAAACAAAATGAAGAAGCACATATTCATGCAAACACTTTGATTAATAATCCCCAGATATATCTTAATTCAAACTATAAAGTTGACTTCCTTACGAGAACTCTTCCTAACTCCGCCACAAGATGGCAGTATGGCTCCATGTTAGACGAGGGGTCAACAGTTGAAATTGAAATTGGATTTTGCAACTTATCAATCTTTTGTTTTACAGGGTTAAAGCAAAGTATTATTCAGATAAAACATGATTATGCAAGTTTAGAACATAGGAAAGCAACCAACAAAGAGGAATAAAATAAATAATCTCACTTCCAATGGACATTTCAATTTTGTCACACAGAAACATTTGGTAAGAGAGAGGATGGCGTGGCCCCCCCTTGGGTCACAGGAAGGGACAGGATGTTGTGAAAAAGGGAGGCATTGTCTTATCCTAGCAGGGCTGTTAATCAAGGCGTTGCCTCGGGGTGGAGGAGGGGACCCTTTTATAAGTTAATGATTTAAAAGCATTTGAAGCACCTCAAATGAACTCTCTATCCCCTTTTTGATGCCAGGATGTCTGGAGGACGCATCCCTCCTGACAGGAGTAAGCTCGGGGGAAGGGTAATAAACATTTGACCCTGCTGGTGGATTTCTCATTGTCTTATTTACTGGTAGTCCAGAATCTGGAGAGTTGAGGAAGGGTATGCTCCTACAAGAGCTACACACAGTACGTCAGTGATGACACGGGAAGGTTCGTGTAAGGAGGTGATGGGGTGGTTGCCTGGCAACAATAAAAAGGTGCATCAAGTGTTTTGTTTTACTAGTGGCATCAGTTTAAAAAACAAAAAAGGCAATGCAGTGTGCCTCAAGTTTTGCAACTCATTGTTCCAGGGCTATAGATATTCAGCAGATATTCAGAGTAGTTTCGACATCATCCAACTGAACGGCAAAAAATACTCAGTCTATACTTATTTTATGTGTAGTGATACCTACATGTATTTTAAGTCTTGGCCTCCGTTGAATATTTAGAATTATTTTCAGTGTTTCTGCGTCGTCTGTTACAAGATAATTGGCTATTGTTTACATTTCATACCAATGATTTTTATTGTCTGCAGGGGCGCCACCAGGGATTTTGGGCCTCTAACAGATATCATATTGGGCCCCACCACCACAGGCCACAGGAACCCTGCACAAATTCTACAACAACACCAGAACCCAATCAACCTCTTCAACGCTTTAAATAAATACCCTTGCAATATTATAGTTTTACTTCACTACATTTATTTGGCACTGAAAGTTACTTGTGATTATTTAAAGAAATATACATATAGGCTACATATAAAGATCCAGCTCACTGATGCATCCACATGTATCTCTTCGGTGTCAGGTTTGAGGAATGCATGAGCGTTGGGTCTATTGCTCACTGAGTTTAAAAGTCTGTTCATTTTTCTAACCTCAGTGTTTAAACTCACTGCACCCAAACACACTCATTTTCACATGCATATACTGTCGTATAGGAGAGTCTTGTTGCAGCAAAAGCAGGCTGAGGAGGACAGAACTGCAGATTTCAGCAAGGAAAGGATTTTCATTGTTTTTTCTTGTTTTGTTTTTTTAGTTGAAAGAAAGCCATTAAATAATGTTTGGAACAGCCCGGAGGATCGAGACATCTCTGATAAAAACAAGAGACAAAACACAGACCAGTTTGTTTTGATGCTTGAGCCTTTAATTTTGCAGAAGACAAGAAAGAAGAGTTAACTTTGCAGAATATATGTAGATTTGTGCTAAAAGCATTCTTTTCATAACACACTCAGTCTGCTCTCATTAAAGGCACAAGGCCTCAGAGACAGTCCAGCTCCTGTTTATGTCACTTGTCGCTTCATTCCTTCAGTAGCGTTACAGCAATAGCAAAGAAAAACTCAGCTCACATGTGAGACTGAGGGTGTAAAGAAAGATGTATATGAAAGCATGCACACAACACAAGTGTTTGTGCTTTTAATGGGTTCTTCATGTCTCTGTGTCAGACCGGGAGTATTCCTCTGTTTCTGACACAGACAGACGGTAACTTGTGGGAGCATTGGAGGTCGTCCCAGCACTTTTGATCTGCAAGCAAAAAAGAAAAGAAAAGAGTTTGTTGAGTCAGTGAATGTGACACAAACGAAACTCTCAGACTGTTGATGTGATCAGTGACTCCTAACTGATATATTTAGGTGACACAACACTATGGCCACTGATAAGATACAAATCATTGTCAAAACATAAATGGTGTAATACTGTGAACTGCTAACCACCAAGTGATCTGATAAAACCAAAGAATATCTGACTCAGAAAGACGTTCTTTGCTCAAGACATTTATATCTGAGCTGTTTGAAATTCATCATGAATAATTTTAACAATAAAAACTGAACTTTATTAATTGGAGAGGGCTGCTGTCAGTCAAAGAAAATCTGTCTTCACTTTTCTTCACTAAGCCATGCATGTTGCTGTTTTCTTTTATTATAAACTGTAGAAAGAATGAACATGGCTACATTGACGTCACCCATTTGTTTGTGGTTTTGAAGCCTCAGGTTCGGCATATCAGCCGTCACCATCTTGGTTTTTTGGAGCCAGAGGTGAACATAGTTGGGCAAGAGGCTGGCGCTGTGGGGGAGCGAGGGGTACGTGGATCTGACAGAGAGGCCGAGGACGCGATCAGCATACAGTCTGTCACTCAAAGCAGCCCGCCCTTAATAATGTGTAACTTTAAGCCTTAATAAAATGTAAACAGGTGAGTAATAAAAATCCCCCCACATACAGCTGTTATAAAGTGGAAACAAAGCTATAGAAACCAAACCCCTTGTTTGAACCAGGAGGTAAACATGCGTATCTCTGCTGTAAAGTTGAGCATTTTAACATGGGGGTCTATGGGGATTGACTGGCTTCTGGAGCCGGCCTCAAGTGGCTGTTCAAAGAACTGCAGTTACTGGCATTTCTGTGCTGGCTTCATTTTTCAGCCCTGGAGGTTGCTGCTTGCCTTTTACTCAGCTGTCCAACCATAGTAGATGGTGGAGCAGGGAAATCACTACAAAGACCAACCATCATATCCTACCAGTACAAGTGCTGAACAGCAACAACAGTGAAGGAGAGATAATTTCTACTGCCCACATAGACGGGCAGGTCTGTCCTCTTTCTCTATTTGCTTTAGCCCTGACTCCGTCCAGAGCAGAACAGATACTCAATATCATAGCACCCAAAGTGTACAACTGAAACAACGCTATGCCTCCGAAGTGTCTGGCACTTCCAACTGGGTGTTGTCAGAAAAGCACCTTCAGTTGGGAAACTAGATTTATTGCCTCGTAGTTGTATGCCTGTGCTATTCATTCAAGTTGTATTCATAGTTTACATCCATGCCTGTGGAAACATGGATGCTTCACACATATCTCGGAAGATCTATACAATCAACACAGTTTCAGGATGGGCACCCAGAATTTGTGTCACCAATTCAGTATCTGACCAAATGTCTCCCCTTCGAGGATATGGCGTTAAAAAATGGCCAGAAAAGTGGCACAATGACCTTTATCTTTGACCACCAAAATGTAATTGCTTCATCGTTCAGTCTAAGTGGTCGTTTGTGACAACTTTTTTGTTCTTGAGATATTGCATTCAGAAAAATGGGACAGATGGCTGGACAGACGGACAACACTGCTTTGGTCGACACACAGTCTTATGAGAGTAACACCAGTGACCATCCGCCCAATGGGAATTTGATGGGACAAGAGCACATCAACCAACTGACCAGAAGATGTCAGCATAATATATTTCTGAGTTCACTCACTGTATTCCTTCATATTTTATCATTAGCATCACTGCTACAATCAGCACTATGTTGTCTTACCTGAGAAATTCATCTGTATACAACTCTGCCTGCCGCCATAGTTATTAGGCTCTCTATGACACCAGTTTTGGTAGTGGAAAGGTGTGCCATCACTCCAGAACCATTGACCGTCCTGGAAGAAAGTGTATCACAGAACATTACATCAAATTAAAGGAGAAAATGTGAAAAAAGTTGTTTTTTTTTTTTTTTTTTAGAAAAACAACAGAGTTAAAAATGATTATATGAATATAAATAAAAACATAAATACATATGTATCTATATATGTGTGTGTGTATGTGTGTGTGTGTGTGTGTGTGTAATATGATGTAATGAAACTACGTAGTACAATATAGTATACATTATAACAATAGCCTATGTAGTATAGCACAGCAATATCACATAAAATATAGTGCGAGTCTAGTATCATATAGTGTGTAATGAAAAAATTAATTGTATAATTCATCATTAAATAATTATCATATGTATTTGGTGTGCAATATTTCCAAGTTGTGCAATGATGAATAAAATACCTCTACTGCATCAGAGCCTCCAATCCATGTCGGTCTTTTCGAATGAGTGGCTCTGAAAATCACATCCTGAATGGTTTGGTACTCCCGGAAGTTGTGAACAGACGCAAGGTTTCCACCCAGGGCCTGACAGTTTTTCTACAGTGAAGACAAACAGAGAGACAGACGGACAGAGAGGAGTTGTCAAGGAAAGTTAGATTGAAGACACCAAGTCAGGAGAAGACCCCAGGTCACCAAATGTCCATGTGTATGCAAACAAAATGAGCTTGTTGTAGAAGCCTCCTGAGTCAAAGTCACCAACATTACCTCAGCTCTAGTCCAGGTCATACATGTTGGAATGTAGCGGTAACAATGACCACTGCACTTAGACCAGCCCGAGGGACAAACCACGGACGGCCTTGGTAGCACGGGACACGGTCTTGGCTTGGGACACGGTCTTGGCTTGGGACACGGTCTTGGCTTGAAGCACGGTCTTGGCTTGAACCACAGTTTTGGCGGGAACCACCTCTTGACCAGGCGACTCTCTGTGGAGAACCATTAGAGTTTGGTTAATGTGGGGTCTCCAGTGAAAGTCTCCATACTATATTACATATACATCATCAATTAATATATATGTAATATAATATACAACATAAACATAAAAAAATTGCAACAGAATACAAACGTTGAAATACATAACATAGCCCTATATAAGTAATAAAAAGCAATATAACGTAATAGGATATAAAATAAGATAAAGTTACATTAGCATCTGACACAAAGCTTTTATCAGGAGAAACTGCTCATTGACATTAAACACAGGTGAAGTCATCACAGCAGAGCATCATAACAACCACATTCTGCTGAAGTGAAAATCTTAAAGCCACTCACCTGTTTCATCTTGGGGAGTTTCCTCTGGAGGAGCTGGAAAGTTTGACACTGCAGTTATTGACTTGGACTGTTTGTGTTTATTAACATCTGTACC